CTAACAACGACACCAGCAAACAAAAAAAAAAAAAAAAAAAAAAAAAAAAAAAAACCACCTAATGATGGACAATGTTCTTAGAGCAGTCTTGTGAGGCGATCTGTGAACATCACCATGCGCTTACACAACCCGGCTGGCTTACCCGACTGCATTATGACATACCTAGGCTATGCAATTTAGCTTAAGTGGTCCTATGGGACAATACACAGCACCTGCATAATAAACTTGAAGCTCCATAGCAGGGACTGGCAAATCAGGGCCTGCCTGCTTTTGCAAAGAAGCTTACTGGAACACAGTCTCATTCAACTACGTATCGTCTGTGGCTGCAACAGAGCCTGTACCATCTGCAAAGCCTAAAATACTACCTGGCCTTTATAGGAAACTTGCTAATCTTTGGAGACTTAAGAGCAAAACATTTAGGAGTGTTGATGGGTATTGATGACTCTACTTGAAAAAAGTGGCCATGTTAAAAGCAGAAACAAAAGGGAAAGGAGTCTAGAATTTAAAGGCCATGCCATTCTGGAAAACCAAAATGCTACCAGAATCCTTACAAGACCCCTTGTTAGCAACTGCCCTACTGATGGCCTGTCATGTACAAGAACGTGATTCTCACCAGACCAAGAGCAGCTGTAAGTGGGCATGCTTAGGCACAGTTCTTGCTACTCTACCTTCTGCCACGAGCCAAGGATACTCTTGTGGGAAGGCCCTCCTTCAGACTGGATGCTGGGACCTGAACACAGAACAAGCTGGACCTACTTGTGGTCTGGAACAGGGCCACACGTAGCCAACCCCACACATTCTGAGCCAAAAAAAAATGCTACATTAAGCCACTGACCAGGACTGACACTTTCCAGGCCTTAGGGGGCTGAAGTGAAACCCTTTAGTGGCATACTGGGTCGAGTGGTTCTCTCATGCACTTTTTCTCTCTCCTATCCCCAAACTAGAAAACAACTCAGAATTGAAGTCACGTTTGTTGTCAACACTATACCACCAAATTTATTAATTTAATGATTCAAAACTGTAACACTGCCTTGTATTCTGAATAAAGGGTGAAAATGAAAGAAAAAACCCCAAAGAAATAGAAATCACTGACTCATAATCCTAGCAGCTGGAGAGCTGGGCGGCACAGGCCTGGCATTAGGCAAGTGTTCGTCACAGCCAGCAGAAGTGCAGAGGACAGCAGGTCCAGGCAGAGGGAGAGTGAGCCGCTCCTTTACAGCAACCAGCTCTCGTGGAAACTCACTCCTTCTCAGGAGAGCCAGAACTCTCCGAAAATTTCTTAGAACCCAGAATTTCTTCTTACATCTCAGCATCTCTACACTAATGAGTTCATTTTCCACACAGCTGGATGAAGATAAATGCATAGTCTTCAACATCGGTAACAGACCCTGGTACGTCTCTTAGAACCTCAACTTTACTACATTAAGGAATCCTCAAAGCTGTGCTTTATTTTTTTATTTTTTTATTTTTTTGGAGAGATTGTCACTGTAGGGCGCGTGCGCTCGCCAGACAGACAGAGAGAGACAGAGAGACAGAAAGCGAGAAATCACCCCCCAGGGGGGATGGTCACGCCGCAATCCCTTCTCCTCCATTCTCCTCTCGGGATCTTGGGCACGCACGCACACGCGCCCAGCGTGAGTTTTAAGCCCCCGGGTCCGGGACACGAACCACGGTCGACTACGTGGGAAGCCAGCGACATAGCCATTACGCTAACTGCTGGTTCCCAAAGCTGTGCTTTATTTTTTTATTTTTTTTTTTTTTGAGAGGTTTTTGTTATAGGGCGTGTGTGCTCACCAGAAAGACAGAGACAGACAGAGAGAGACAGAGAGACAGAAAGCGAGAAATCACCCCCCAGGGGGGATGGTCACGCCGCAATCCCTTCTCCTCCATTCTCCTCTCGGGATCTTGGGCACGCACGCACACGCGCCCAGCGTGAGTTTTAAGCCCCCGGGTCCGGGACACGAACCACGGTCGACTACGTGGGAAGCCAGCGACATAGCCATTACGCTAACTGCTGGTTCCCAAAGCTGTGCTTTATTTTTTTATTTTTTTTTTTTTTGAGAGGTTTTTGTTATAGGGCGTGTGTGCTCACCAGAAAGACAGAGACAGACAGAGAGAGACAGAGAGACAGAAAGCGAGAAATCACCCCCCAGGGGGGATGGTCACGCCGCAATCCCTTCTCCTCCATTCTCCTCTCGGGATCTTGGGCACGCACGCACACGCGCCCAGCGTGAGTTTTAAGCCCCCGGGTCCGGGACACGAACCACGGTCGACTACGTGGGAAGCCAGCGACATAGCCATTACGCTAACTGCTGGTTCCCAAAGCTGTGCTTTATTTTTTTATTTTTTTTTTTTTTGAGAGGTTTTTGTTATAGGGCGTGTGTGCTCACCAGAAAGACAGAGACAGACAGAGAGAGACAGAGAGACAGAAAGCGAGAAATCACCCCCCAGGGGGGATGGTCACGCCGCAATCCCTTCTCCTCCATTCTCCTCTCGGGATCTTGGGCACGCACGCACACGCGCCCAGCGTGAGTTTTAAGCCCCCGGGTCCGGGACACGAACCACGGTCGACTACGTGGGAAGCCAGCGACATAGCCATTACGCTAACTGCTGGTTCCCAAAGCTGTGCTTTATTTTTTTATTTTTTTTTTTTTTGAGAGGTTTTTGTTATAGGGCGTGTGTGCTCACCAGAAAGACAGAGACAGACAGAGAGAGACAGAGAGACAGAAAGCGAGAAATCACCCCCCAGGGGGGATGGTCACGCCGCAATCCCTTCTCCTCCATTCTCCTCTCGGGATCTTGGGCACGCACGCACACGCGCCCAGCGTGAGTTTTAAGCCCCCGGGTCCGGGACACGAACCACGGTCGACTACGTGGGAAGCCAGCGACATAGCCATTACGCTAACTGCTGGTTCCCAAAGCTGTGCTTTATTTTTTTATTTTTTTTTTTTTTGAGAGGTTTTTGTTATAGGGCGTGTGTGCTCACCAGAAAGACAGAGACAGACAGAGAGAGACAGAGAGACAGAAAGCGAGAAATCACCCCCCAGGGGGGATGGTCACGCCGCAATCCCTTCTCCTCCATTCTCCTCTCGGGATCTTGGGCACGCACGCACACGCGCCCAGCGTGAGTTTTAAGCCCCCGGGTCCGGGACACGAACCACGGTCGACTACGTGGGAAGCCAGCGACATAGCCATTACGCTAACTGCTG